GCTTGCACACCCTTCCCTGGCCTGGCCTGGCCTGCTTGCACACCCTTCCCTGGCCTGGTCTGGCCTGCTTGCACACCCTTCCCTGGCCTGGTCTGCTTGCACACCCTTCCCTGGCCTGGCCTGCTTGCACACCCTTCCCTGGCCTGGCCTGGCCTGCTTGCACGTCCTTCCCTGGCCTGCTTGCACGCCCTTCCCTGGCCTGGCCTGGCCTGCTTGCACACCCTTCCCTGGCCTGGTCTGGCCTGCTTGCACGCCCTTCCCTGGCCTGGTCTGCTTGCACGCCCTTCCCTGGCCTGGCCTGCTTGCACACCCTTCCCTGGCCTGGCCTGCTTGCATGCCCTTCCCTGGCCTGGCCTGCTTGCACACCCTTCCATGGTCTGGCCTGCTTGCACACCCTTCCATGGTCTGGCCTGCTTGCATGCCCTTCCCTGCGACGGGCAGCTGCCCGTGTCCTTTTGCACGTCTGTAACTGTCGCTACTCTAGGAGGCGATCCCTGGGACCTCTGATTGAGCTAACCGACACGGCGCTGAACCACGTGCCTCACACGCTGGTTCGTTCCGTTTCCTCCTCAGGAAGAGGCTCTTGGGGGCAGGGGCAGAGGCTTCCTGGTCAGACAAGCAGTGTGCTCCAGTCAGGTGTCAGACAGCGTGAGCCACACCAGCTGCGAGTTACACCCAGTCACTGGGGTAAAGGGAAGTGGAAACATTTCTTCCATTTATCCCAGGTAGTGAGTGCCAGATCAGGCAATGGTAACACGTCCAGAACTGTTCACTTTCTTGAGGAATAGGAAAGCAGCACCAGCAGCCACTGCTGCCCATTTCTGACCTCCACCATCTCTGAGAATCTGCTGCTCAGCAATAATGAATGCTCTTGCACAGCAGACCTGTCACTTAGACAAATCGGGCAGATTTCCAGGATTGGGCTCTTTACTGCTCTTGGCTGGTTTTTCCCCCTTGACAATTGTCATTTGGATGATAATCCTTACCTTGTCACAGGCCCATTTGTCATGTGAGTGTTCAGCATACTTGGTGACGATGGATTCCAATTTTTCAGGCAAAGAAAAACTGTGAAGAGAGGGAACTGAATCACCATCTCCCCGGGCATAGTGGCCAGGCAGGCTGGAATAGGGTAGAATGGGCTGTCAGCTGTGAGAAGCTGGGTTTGACCCATCGGCTCACCTCAGAGCTAAAGCTCCTCTAGATGCGGGGCCAGGCCCTGTGACCTGTGACCTGCCCTTGTCTGTCACACGCCGTCCCTGCAGGCCTCCGAGGCGCAGGCCCCCCTGGAGGGCTCCCTCCAGCTGCTCAGTGCTTCCGGGGCCTCCCCAGCCCCGGGGGGAAGCCGCCTGACACCCCACGGCTCCCATCGGCGACTGGCAGAGGTGGGCAAGGCTGTGTGTTTCAGATTAGCGTCTGTGTTTTTGGGCTCAGTGATTCCTGACGAGCTTTCGGAACTATGGCCAGCACCTGCCGTTCCCTTGCCCCTTCCGTGGTGACAGCGTCTGCACTTTGCTTTATATCCCGGTTCAAATCTGTGTCCGATGGAGTGCGCACTTAATCACCCGAAGATGAGTTTCGTGCAGCATCAAAGCCAAAGCCGCCTCTGGGAAGGTTTGGCTCTCATTTGAGCACAGCTGTCACCAAGCAGAAGCCTACGGGGCTCGTGTGGGACCCGTTCCCCGGTTCCCTCTGAAGTAGTCTTGGGGCTCTTCATTTACCATGCACCTTGCGATGATGCTAGGCTGTCCCATGACACACGTTCGTGGCTGGGCGGGAATGCCACAAACCAACACAAAGCAATTTTGCCCAAAGGTAAAGACATCATGGCCTAATGAGCATCAACGAGGAATTACAGGTAGCTGCTGTGATGAGCCGAAAGGCATGACTGTGGAGTCAGTGCTGTGTTCTAGCATCCTTCTCCATGGCAGGAAGCAGATCTAACCCTAATAAGGACCCCACCTGCTCAGCTCATCATTCCAGGCCCTGTACAGCTCAGCTGAGCGGCATATACGGAGCTGTTTCATTTTGTTATTATTATTGGTTGGTTGTGGGGCATTCACTCAGGGCCTGGGCACTGTCCCTGAGCCAAAGTGCTCAAGGGTAGAGCTCTATCACTTTGGGCCACAGCTCCACTTCTGGTTTTTGAGAGGTTAATTGGAAATAAAGACTATCACGGGGACTTTTCTGCCTAGGCTGGCTTTGAACCGCGATCCTCAGATCTCAGCCTCCTGAGTAGCTAGGATTATAGGCATGAGCCACCAGCACCTGGCTATGTGTGACACAATGAGGTCTCTACAGGCTGAATTAACGAAGAGCCAAGATTGTGTCAAAAAGTGCATTGATACATCAATTGCATCCATCATTTGCTGGACTGGTTCTCACGTCTTGGTTAACGTTTATTTATGAATGCATCTACTTCTTTTGTTAAACCGACCCTACTCCATTAAAAAGCCCGGAAACAAAAAAATGTCTCGTCATCAGATGTGGACAGAGGAATCCTTGTGTGACAATGAACAGGGAAAGAGGGAATGTGTTCTGAGAGGAAGACACTGGCTCAGGACCACAGAGACGGCCAGGGTGGGGAGGACCGGACTCACTTCATGGTGTTGATGGGCTTCGGGTCAAAGTTGCCATCAGCATCCACCGAGACCTGTTTCTCCAACACGGCTGTGATTCGCGTGTCCAGATAATCTGGCGGCAGAGCCCCGGCAATGGCGCTGAGACAGGGAAGGGCCATGAGGAAAAGGTCCGGGTCGTACTTCTGGGAAGAAGCAGAGACAACCTTAATAGCAAAAGTCAAATGGTGGCCGAGAGGCAGAACCGATCGCTTACCCACTGACTACCAACATCAGACATGAGGACCGCCACACTGACAGAAAATGTCACGTCCTTATTAAAGTTTAATTTCTTCTTGAATAATCTCAAGAGTATATTAAGTTAGCATGGTTTGCATTAGGCCAGAAGAACCTGGTCTGTTCAACGTGACAAGAACAGACCCTACTTGAGGCAGAGAAGGCACAGGACGTTCTAGGACCAGAGAGAGCATGCACGCTCTGCTTTGCGTCACAGTAGCCGATGTGTGTCAGGATCAGTAGCAAACGGCTCAGTCCCTCATCTGCTTTCTACTGAACCCAGCCGGGGACAAACTGCTGCCAACTCATCTGATCTCAACAGGTAAATCTAAGGGCATCTCGGGAAGCTAGCTGTACTCATCCTTGGAGAAAACCAGGCATTTTTATCCTTTAGAGCGCTTGACTTCCCACATCTAGACGCACTGGACGCAGAGCAAGCTCCATCTCAGTCACTGTCCTGTAAGGTTTGGGGGTTAGCGGCTCTGCGCCCGTCCCCACCTCCTCCGAGGACGGGGTCTGGCAGCCCCTCCCCAGCAGCCCCAGTCTGAATGTCTCATGGCCCCACATCAGAGCAGATGCCCAGAATCCTCCTCTTGCTAGTGTTCGGCAAAGGCTCAGCAGGAGGAAAAAGAGGAGGGAGGAACGTCAGGAGGGATTTTTGTGCTTTACTCTGATGGTTCCTCTCTGGTGTTACTTTAGGAGAGCATCAAGTCATTTGACTTTGACTCCGTCCTCCTTTAAAACGATGATGATGGTGGTTTCCACAGTAAGGACTATGCTTGTGATGTGCTTAGCACTGTCCTGAGCCGTGGCAAAGCTGCACAGATGCCGTCCCCCCCTCTGTGCCCCTGGGTCTCCCAGGGCCTCTGTCTGTGTAGGACGCACTGACGTTACCTTGCGGGAGAGGGAGTCAAAGATCCCCCAGAAGAGCTTTTCCGTGAGGTGCAGCTCCTCTTCCACAGCCATCCCGTGGCCGCCCCATCCCGCAGGGAGGCAGTAATACTTCCAGCACTGCTCATAGTGGCTTGTCAGAAGCTGGGGCGCACAGAGCAGGAGGTCGGAGACATCCACGGGCGCCACGAGCCGTCAGGGGAGAATAAAACAGCATGCAGAGATCCTAAGGACAAACCCACGTTCCAAGCAGCCGGGGCCCCTCCGGGCGGCGCGGGAAGGGTCTGCGCGTGGGACTAAGGAGCCCCTGCCTGAGCCGCAGCCGCCTGGCTAGCTCTTGTGTCCTTGGATGTGGTCCTAGGAGCCTCTAGGACATGGAGTGGAGCCATCCCTTCTGCCCGTGGTCTGTGAGTGCTGGGCCAGCCAGCGGGCGGGGGAGGATCTCTCCTGAGAGCTGTGCTTGTAGCTCTGGAAGATCCTGGGGACGCTGACATGGAGAGGGGACGGTGGGCAGCAAGTTGTGGCTGTGAAGGTTTTCTCTGCATTTAATTATGGCTCCTCTCCAACCCGGTAGGGCCCTGTGACGTGGCAGCAATTCCACCTCTCCCCAGTGGAGGGCAGAAGTGCACTGCTAACACCTTTTCCCCGCAGGTGGGACCACATCCAGTTTTCTGATACCAGCATGACCAGCAATGTCTCTCACGAGTTAGCCTGAGGCTGACAGCAGAGCCGACTGGGAACGGATGCCAAGTCAGACTGGCAAGCGATTCAACCCGAATACCTCGTGTGAGTCATCTGAGATTGCTGGGTGGCCGGGAGTCCTGCCTGCAAGGAGACGGAGCCAAAGCCTCTGGGAACGCTGTTTACCCCACAGAACGTCTCCTTACGTCCTTGCCTGAACTATGTCTTAAGGACAGAAGAGGTCTGTGAATGTCACTAGGCGGGGTCTTCATTTTCAGGTGTGACTGCTGTCTGCTGATGCCTGGTTTTTAGGATGGCACGGGGCGGGGGAAGAGGCAGAGCAAGCTAAAACCATTGTCCTCCTGGGCTGTGGCTGATTCTGGCTCCAGGAGCCACAATGAACTGTCTATAACTAAGGGGAAACCAGAAACAAACAAACAAAGAAAGGCTCCGTACTTTCTAAAAAAAGAATTTAAAAAATAAGACAAAGAGGAGGATTTACAAGATGAAAGAATAAAACAATGCAGAAGAGGGACATTTTAGTCCTTTTGAAGGATAAACTACCGAGCTTTCAAAGATTCTTTTTTTCCAGTCCTGGGGCTTGAACTCTGGGCCTGAACACTGTCTCTGAGCTTCTTTTATGCTCAAGGCTAGCACTCTACCACTTGAGCCACAGTGCCACTTTTGGTTTTCTGGTGGTTTATTGGAGATAAGAGTCTCACGGACTTTCCTGCCCAGGCTGGCTTTGAATCACGATCCTCAGATCTCAGCCTCCTGAGTAGCTAGGGTGACAGGTGTGAGCCACCAGTACCCGGCATCCAGCTTTTTCAGTTAATGTGGTACTAAGGAATTGAACTCAGGGCTTCATGTACGCTAGGCAAGTACTCTACCACGAAGGCACATCCCCAGTTCTCAAAGATTTTTAAGGCTGGAAATATTTTGGCAACCTAAGTAGAGCAGGGAAGTGTAAAAGCCTGTGCTAAAGTAATAAATATGACAAGTTAAAAAATGACAAGTTGAAGCTGAGCATCAGTGGCTCACGCCTGTAACCCTAGCTGCCCAGGAGGCTGAGATCTGAGGATCACGGTTCAAAGCCAGCCCGGGCAAGAAAGTCCGTGAGAATCCTATCTCCAATAAACCACCAGAAAACCGGAAGTCGTGCTGTGGCTCAAGTGGTACAGTGCTAGCTTTGGGCTGAAGAGCACAGACACAGTGCCCAGGCCAAGGCCCAGAGTTCAAGCCCCATTGCTGGAAAAAAAAAAAAAGACAAGGTGAGCAGTTAATGTGAGAAATCTCCCCTCTTGACCTGGGTACTGAGAAGGGCTTCGACCTGTGGAGGGGGTGGAGCCCACCGCTCTGCCCTGCGCTGTGACGATGGCGCTGAGGCCGGCTTCCTGGGCGTGGAGGGTGACGCTTACCTTTAGAGGCATTTTGCAGTACTCATTGAGCTGTGGCACATCGAAGACCAGGCGTCTCAGGAGCTGCTGCAGCATGGAGGGCCTCAAATGACTGCAGCACGGAGTGGGAGCAACAGAAAGGGCGGGAGAGGTGAGTCAGAGCAACAGCAAAGGAAAGAGAGGAGGACGCACACCTCGGGCTAAGCAGTGGTTACACACAAAGCATGGACACGTGGTTACGGTGCAGAACCGTCTATTCACCTGGGACACCTGCGGATACATTCTAACCACCGAGCAATGAAGTGTTCCAGGGTCAGTGCACACTGAATGCCGTGATTATGGGCAGAGAGCGTAAAGGAAGGAGGTGCAGACAGCTGTACGGCCATCGCTGACGACCAAGAATCCCTGGGCATTCTGCACAAGAGGAAGCTGCCCAGCGGCCTACACGGAGTCTGCCGCCACCCAGTGGCAGGCACATATATTACAGGTATCTAAGGAAAGGCCTGCCGTGCTAGAAAGCATTTCCATTGTTCTAACCGGTCCAGCGCTGTTTCCCCCTCCGAGCTATTCTACCTCGATGGCCGGGGAGGGGTGGGGGGTGGTCTTACAATAGCCTTTACATATTGGCTTCTTTTACTCAGCATTTCAGGTCACTCATGTCTTTCCACGGCCTGATGGCTCATTTCTTTTGAGCAGTGAATAACCCATTACCTGGATTTGGTGCAGTTTTTTTTTTTTTGCATCACCTACTAAACAACAGCTTGCTGATATATTTTGCTAATTATGCATACGAGTGATCTAAATACATGTGTGCAGCTATGTTTGTGTATGATGCAAAGTCCTCAACTCCTTTGGGAAAATACCAAGGATCATATGACTGGACAACATGGTGTTTGTTAAAAAAGCAAAATTTAACATTTAATTGTGATTAAGCTGATTAATTAATCTAATTGTGTCCTTTGCTGTGGTCTTAGGAGCCACTAGAAAATGGGTGGAACCATTCCTTCTGCCAATGCTACGAAAGCGGTCGCTGCCCTCCGTAAACTTGTATGAGTTTGGCTTTTCTAGACCAACTGCTATGGCGGCCAACCTTTTTGTATTTCCTTTAGTGAGTGGGGGTTCTGGTGTCCCATCTTTGCCAATATTTGTATCCTTAGTATTTGGGCTTTTCCAAAAGGGGGGTTGTGATGTCTCATTGCTAAGGTGGCCTTTAATCGGATGTTCTAAAATGGCTGCTGGGTTTTCTTCTCAGCAGCCCCAGTACCGGATGTACAACCGGGAAGCATCACCTTCGACAAGAATCAGGACCGTTCCCAGGTCCTTCCCCTTTTTGGCTGAGTATTGCAATTATATGGCGAGCTTCCAAAGCAGAATCCTAGACGCCATCCCTGAGAACGCTGTGTATGGAGGCTGGCCTGGGAACTAGATATCTAGCAGCTTATCAGGTGATGCCAATCTGCATCTGCAGAGGAAAATCACTGGTGTAAAACAGCAGGTCAAAGGCTTGCGCATGCCAGGACGTATGCTATTAAAGGACTCCTCGCCCTTTGACCCTACCAGTCTCGATATAGATTCCTAAGAGCCCAAGGTCCTTTTTTCTGGGCTGGCTCTAATATCCTCCTGCAGCGGTGGAAAGCCATGTTCTAACTCCCCACCGCGTCGAGAGGTCTTTCCTTTGCACAAGGCCTTGGGAGACCTGAATGTGGCCCACTCTGATTCACACTTAGAATATGGTCTCTTTTGGAGGATGGAACAATGTCCTGGCTCTATCCTGAGAACGAAACCATTGCTTCATAATCAGAACACTTTATACACCAAAGAGCCTCTTCCCGGGCTGTCACTCCGTGGGCCACAGCCTGAGCAGGCCCCGTCGCCCCTGTAGGAGGAGCTGGGCATTAAGAAGAGCAGAGGTATGGAGACACATGAGAGGAAATGTCTGGGGAAGGGCCAGGTGCCTCGTCAGACCCTCTTACCAGCCTTTAGATGACTACGTGTATTTTCACGGATAGGTGGACAGTCAGAACGGGGAGAGAAGCACTTACTTGCAAATGGCGAGCAAGCATTCTTCTATGGTGTCCCTCTGGGCTTTGGTGAGAGACCGTCCCTTGGAAAGCCTGTATATTGTCTGCAGCGTGGAATCGATGAGGGAGGTGTGATGCTCCGTCCCGGCAAAGAGAGGAGCACACCTCGTGAGGAGCGGGAGCACCGCGGAGCACATGTACCTGTTCAGGGCCAGCGCGGCCTCCGTGGTGCTGAGGGACACCTGGGGACGGGCAGGTGCGGGTTAGTCTCGGAAGGCGGCGCGGGTCACCCTGTTTTCTGTGAGCTTCAGAGCTTCAGACTGGGAAGTGAAACACACCCGCGCTTCACAGAAACAGAGCCAGGGACTTCCTACCCGGTCAGCGGGTAGAAATCCAACAAAACAGAAAAAAGTAAAAAGAAAAACAACACAAAAGCAAATGGCCCAAGATGGCTGCATCCCCAGCGGAGCGGCCAGCGTTTGGTGCCCGTTTGAGTTGAACTGTGGACTCGGCAACCTGTGGCTGCCTCCCTTGGTTGCTCGGCTGGCACTTTACCACCTGAGCCACGCGCTCGCTCTGACCCTCTTCTGGTTATTTTGGAGATGGAATCTCATAAGTTCTTCCGCCTGGACTGGCCTTGAACCACAACTCTTGGGATCTCAGCCTTCTGAGGAGCTGGGATTAAAGCATGGTCCCCTAGAACTGGTGAACTCGTGGCCAGTTGAATCCAACACCTTTGCTGCCAATCCAGATGCCAGGCTGCTACATTATTATCCTGGCCTTAGTTCTCCGTGTTCACGTTATGGAGATTCACACATTCTCCTTGGGAATTTGAGGATTAAGAAATGGTTATAGGTCCAAAGGTCCCTTAAATCCACCAGTGTGGTGACAGCTTTACAAAGAGAGTGACTCAGACCCCTGTCAACTGATTTGTAAGCACTGAGAGCAGTCCACAAGCTGAGAGGGGACACAAGATACAGCCCACGAAAGCGGTCACCGAAGGAACCGAAATCTAGGACCTTCTCTACAACGCGGGGATAATTCTCCCTCACAAAGTTCTCTTTTGTTCACTTACATAGACAGGCAGAATTCAAGAGAAACCCATTCAGTGACACTAACTATAGACCAAGTGTGACTGACTACCACCTTTGAAAACGGCAGAAGTTCAAAAGAAACCTTTAAATTCGCAAAGATAAGACGTTATCATTATTTTCCATCATTATCAGGGCAATTAGATCTGTAACACATTTTCCATAACTTACGACTTGAAAAGCTGCTTCCTTTGAACTGTACACACTTCTGGGGGCACGTATCAGTTATTAAAAGTCTCTCATCTAGCAGCGTTAGCAATCACACTGAAAAAAGTCTCATTGCTCATGGGTCTCACTTTCATTGTCAGAGAAGGTAAAATGAGGAAAGCAAAGCTTTGATTCCAATGGCTTAAAAGTGTTAAAATGAGATGCATAACTGCCTCTTGGTGCAGGATCTCAATAGAGACATGGTTTGTTTCCGATGGTTCTTGAGCAACTGAATACTAGGTGGAAAAGCATTTGTTCTGCGATGTACAAACCAACAAGCAACCACTTTAACCATGAAACACGGGGACACCGGCCAAGCTCCTTTCTTCTCTTTTGTGCTGGTATTATGAGCAAAGTCCAGCCTCAGGCTTTTATTCTTTATGTTTTCTCTCACCATTGTTGCTCTACCTCCTTGAGCCACACCTCCAGTCCAAGTGTTTTGCTGGGTAGTTGGAGATGGGGTCAATGGGCGTTCCTGTCTCCACTGCCTTGCACTGACAGCCCTCAGGGCTCAGCCACTGGGTAGCTAGGAAAACAGGTGTGATTTGCTGGCACCCAGCTTAATTTTTTTCCTTTAGGTGCCAGTCCTGGGGCTTGAACTCAGGGCCTGGGCTCTATCCCTGAGCTTGTTTTTTTTTCCCCTCAAGGCTGTGACTTGAGTCACAGTTCTATGTCTGGCTTTTCTGGTAGTTACCAGGTGATAGGAGTCTCACAGACTTTCCTGCTGGGGCTGGCTTCAAACCTGAGCCTCAGATCTCAGCCTCCTAAGTAGCTAGGATGACAGGCGTGAGCCCCCGGTGCCGCCCCTTGGAACACTCTCTCCCTAATCATCCCAGTAAAATCATTTCAGAATCAAAATGAGGTAGCCTGTCTTTTCCTCTAGGTCACAGGACTTTGGGTACACTGTCTGTCTGCTTCATCCTGATGTGTGGCAGTTGGCATCTCTAATAGCTGGACTTCTTCCTTAGTGTCTATAGATGCCTGATTGCTGTACTGCAGCCTTGATTTCCAAACACACATTTCCCTTGGCCTCTGGCATGCATGTGGCTCATGTTTCTGGTTACAGATCTGCAGGAAGAGCATCTGCAGCCTGAAAAGCCACCAGTCAGCCTCTTCCATGCAAGAGAGCCGTGTTCCTCCAGAGGTGGTTCTTTCTGATATCTTTCTGGGAAGTGGTGGTCGAGTAGGGAGTCGGGTGCTCCTGGCATCTAATGGGAAAAGACCAGGGACACTGCTAAATGTTCAACAATGAACAGGACAGTTCCCCACAAAAAATAATGTCTCAGTTTAGAAACGCTGCGAGTGAGGTTGAATTTATCAAGGTGTCTCAGCTCTGCCCAATACATGAAGGTCTTCAGGTTCTTGGTGCCTCTTTGTTGTCCCTCTGAAAAGCAGGTTATTCAAATGAAATCGGCAAGCAGATGAGCACTGGCAGTAATGCCTGCCGCGCTCACACCTTCCGAGTCTGACATCTGGAGGAGAGTGGTTCCACCAGCCAGGCAAAAAGGTCTAGAAGACTCCATCCCCAATGTATCAGCAAAAACGTTGGACTGGAGTCTGGTAGCAGCTGTGAGCGAGCAAGCTGAGCAGGAGTGAGCCCGGAGTTCCACCCCTCGGTTGGTAAATGAAAATGCATGTGCAGCCAGTGAGAACGCGGAGCAAAGAGTCTCAGCTCAAGCTGTTAATCACCCAGTGCAGGCAACACTTTTTTGCTTATTTTAACCACTTACTGTATCTAGAGAGGCAGAGGCTCTCAGGTCAGGTAAAAAGCCAACCTCCAGCAGATGCAGCAGGAAAGCTTGGTCCTCAACCCCATACACACGGTCCAGGAACAGCACCATGGGTGCCTTGTGGTCGGGGCAGAAGTTGGCTGCCATGTCTGGTTCGCTGACCGACCCGTCTGAAAGACAGGAGACACCATTTCCCTTTTTCTATTTACATTTTCCAAAGGCAACATGGAACTTACTGCCAATACTTGTTCTAATGAGCAACATGAATTCTAGAAATAACATCGCTGTCTTGGTACCACCTTATACTGGGTGGACAGAGCCAACTGTTAAAAAAAAAAGAATCAGTGATTAAACGTGTCCATTACCAAACATGCCAATTTAGAATTAAGTTATACATAAAAGGTAACAAATAATGTAATTCATGTTCCCAATTTGTTTACTATGAACTACATTTGAGGTTGTTTGTATCCAGTATGGTAGCAAGAAGTCAGCCATGGAGAGAATATTCACACTACAGAAATAGGCAGATACTAGAAATCAGGGCTTGATTACGGTGTGGGGACCGAGCCGGGGACAGTGGCACGGGTCCTGTGCGGGGTGGTAAGTGTTAGGCCAGCCTGGGTTAAGTAATGAGCTCTGGGCCAGCTGGTTATGAATAATCCCTGTCTCAAAAACAAACAAAAAAGAGGGATAAAACGTTAATAAAGACAGTGTGACTTCAACAGCGTGCCGTTGAAGTGTCTACAGCCGTTATTCCGTAAGTAACAAAATGGCTTTCTAATGTAGGTGACACCTAGATTATCTAAGAATTCTAGCCTTAATTTAAGAAATCCAAAGATAAAGGGTAGATCCCACAAAGTAAATCAAAAGTGCTTGATCTGGAGATCAAGGCAGAAACAAACCCTACTTTCTCTTGTTCTGTTTGCTCCACAAGCTAGAGAACCCCGAGCCCTGTAGAGGTGTGCCAGGTCGCGAGAGAGGCAGGGCTGTCCCGCGTGGCCGGGCGTGGGGGCCGCCTGCCTGCGACCCCGCTGCTCAGCCTGCCTGCGGACCCTGCTGGGGGCCCCCTGCCTCCAGTCCCCGCTGCTCAGCCAGGGGCCGGGCGTGGGGGCTGCCTGCCTCCGACCCCGCTGCTCGGCCTGCCTGCGGACCCCGCTGGGAGCTGCCTGCCTCAGACCCCCGCTGCCTGGCCTGCCTGCGACCCCGCTGCTCTGCTTGGCCTGCCTCCGGACCCCGCTGCCCAGCCAGGCTGGGCGTGGGGGCCGCCTGCCTCTGGACCCACTGCTCAGCCAGGGGCCGGATGTGGGGGCCGCCTGCCTGCGGACCCCGCTGCTCAGCCTGCCTGCAGACCCCGCTGGGGGCCGCCTGCCTCCGACCCTGCTGCTCAGCCAGGGCCGGGTGTGGGGGCCGCCTGCCCGCGACCCCGCTGCTCAGCCTGCCTGCAGACCCCGCTGGGGGCCGCCTGCCTCCGGACCCCGCTGGGGGCCACCTGCCTCGGGACCCTGCTGCTCGGCTGGGCTGGGCCCGAGCGGGCCCTGCAACTCCATCTCACACATCTCCGTGGTTTGAGTATTGTCATTCTTTGTGGGATTCTTTCAAGCATTTTGTGCTAAGAAAACACAACGTTGCTTAAGAAGCACAGAGTTCAAATTCTGTTCTCTTTATGGTGTGTTTCCTCAGACACATTGTCATCTTTCTGTGCTTCATGAAGCTGTAAAGGCATCACAGTCTATTTTCCAAACTTACCCCACCTCTACTAACACGAACACCTATCAATACCTGTGGCAAAGCTGCTCTACAGAACGTCAGTGCAGGAAACACTACCGTGGTGGCATGCTCTTTTCTATGCTGTGGTGCAGATTGGAGAGTTTTGCAGAGATTTCTAAGGTCAAAATGGTGTTGAGGAAAACCCTGTATGATCCTATCCAGGACTGTGGCAGACACGCACCCATTAATCACCACACTCCCTGGGGCCCCAGCACACGGCCTGGGAGCTGCTGGGGCCTGGCAGGGCCGTGTCTGGGCTCGAGCTGCTGCGGCCTGGCAGGGCCTTGTCTGGGCCCACGGCCCCGGGAGCTGCTGCGGCCTGGCAGGGCCTTGTCTGGGCCCACGGCCCCGGGAGCTGCTGCGGCCTGGCAGGGCTGACTCTGGGCTCGAGCTGCTGCGACCTGGCAGGGCCGTGTCTGGGCCCACGGCCCCAGGAGCTGCTGCGGCCTGGCAGGGCCGTCCTGTCCCGGCTGTGTCCATACCTTTGTTCAGAGAGGGGAGCTTCAGGGGAATGCTGACAATCCCGACCAGGTCTTCTGTGGGGACCAGGGAGCGCAGGATGGACCGGATTCGGATGGCTTCCCCTTTTCCTGCCTGGATGAGCTGTTGTAGGAGAGAGGTTAGATGGACCAAGCTCCCACGCCCACCCCACCTCCAAGCACCTTCCTTCAAGGTAGGGGTTCAACGCCACGTCCCCTTAGTTACTAGACACTTTTGTCCAGAGAGAAGCTTTCTCTGAATTCTGCAGAGAAGGGCCCACTAAGGGACGACTTTGCTGAAGGAGGCCACGCGCTTCCTCTGCGGAGGTTGAGGTGGTCATGTGACTGGCATGAGGTCTAGGAAGTGGCTCCCTGACCCCAAGACGAGTCAGGACAGGACGCGCTCACGACCACGAGCCCAGGATGCAAGTGCTACAGCAAGCGTGGACGTGGCCAGCGTTACAGCGAGAGTGGCCGTGGCCAGCGTTACAGCGAGCGTGGACGTGGCCAGCATTACAGCGAGCCCAGGACGCAAGTGTTACAGCGAGTGTGGACTCGGCCAGTGTTACAGCGAGTGTGGACATGGCCAGTGTTACAGTGAGTGTGGACACGGCCAGTGTTACAGCGAGCGTGGACATGGCCAGTGTTACAGCGAGTGTGGACATGGCCAGTGATACAGCGAGCGTGGACATGGCCAGTGTTACAGCGAGTGTGGACACGGCCAGTGATACAGCGAGCGTGGACATGGCCAGTGTTACAGCGAGTGTGGACATGGCCAGCATTACAGCGAGTGTGCCCGCCCAGGCTGCAGTGTGCCCGCCCAGGCCGCAGTGTGCCCGCCCAGGCTGCAGCTCCGCAGTGTGCCCGCCCAGGCGGCGGCTCCGCAGTGTGCCCGCCCAGGCCGCAGTGTGCCCACCCAGGCCACAGTGTGCCCGCCCAGGCTGCGGCTCCGCAGTGTGCCCGCCCAGGCCACAGTGGTGTGCCCGCCCAGGCCGCAGTGTGCCCACCCAGGCCACAGTGTGCCCGCCCAGGCTGCGGCTCCGCAGTGTGCCCGCCCAGGCCACAGTGTGCCCGCCCAGGTCGCGGTGTGCCCGCCCAGGCCGCGGTGTGCCCGCCCAGGCCACAGTGTGCCCGCCCAGGCCGCGGTGTGCCCGCCCAGGCCACAGTGTGCCCACCCAGGCCACAGTGTGCCCGCCCAGGCTGCGGCTCCGCAGTGTGCCCACCCAGGCCACAGTGTGCCCGCCCAGGCTGCGGCTCCGCAGTGTGCCCGCCCAGGCCACAGTGTGCCCGCCCAGGCTGCGGCTCCGCAGTGTGCCCGCCCAGGCCACAGTGTGCCCGCCCAGGCTGCGGCTCTGCAGTGTGCCCGCCCAGGCCGCGGTGTGCCCGCCCAGGCCGCGGTGTGCCCGCCCAGGCCGCGGTGTGCCCGCCCAGGCGGCGGCTCTGCAGTGTGCCCGCCCAGGCTGCGGTGTGCCCGCCCAGGCTGCGGCTCCGCAGTGTGCCCACCCAGGCCGCAGTGTGCCCGCCCAGGCCGCAGTGTGCCCGCCCAGGCCGCGGCTGCAGAGCTGGTCTCTCCACTTACGTGCATCTCGGGAGCACAGCGGCCCAGGAGATCGATGAGTGCAGAATAGAATGACATGACCGCATTGCCCATGTGCACGACCGCGTCCTCCTCTCCATCGCCCTCTGAGCTGTGGAGACAGAATGGACCCGGGGAGGGGTGAGCCCGGCCGCGCTCAGCTTCACACGCACCTTCTCTGGAAAGGCCCCTCAGCACAGAAGCTGCGCTGTCACAGTGCACACGGAGACCCCTAGGTTCACCCGGCTGTGCTAGCAGCTTGTAGGATGGCCAGACTCGGTTTCCCCCGTGTTACGGGGGACTTGGGACACTGTGCTTCTGGCAGGGCTAGCGTTTGAACTCAGGTCTCAGACTTGTTGATCAGGACATACTCACAGCTTCAGCTTTCGTTATTTTTTGGATATGGTCTTAAGCTTTTCCCTAGGGTCAGCCCTTACCTAAGGGCTTTTGCTGAAATGGAAAGTTCGCACGGTCGGCCTGGCTGGTCTCTGATCACACTCTGCCCGGTACACACTGGCCACCATGGCCTGTGCCACCGTGCCTGGTCCTTGGACAGCTAGGTTTTGGATTTTTCCAGTCTACAAAGTCCCTATTGCAAGTGGAAAATAGCAGACTGCATGGGGGCAGCCCCGCGGAGCACTCTGTGGGCTCTGAGGTCCAGCCAGGGGCTGTGATGAAGATCGGATCGTAGCTATGATCCGGGAAGCGATCGTCCTCAAACCACAGCCCTAAAACAACCAACTTATCCGTGCTCCGGCTTTCCACAGTCCGCAGCGGCTCTCTGTGCTGAGGAATCAAACTAGAGCAGCAGGAGTTCTGCTGAGTGAGGCCCATCTTTTCGGGAGAGAAGGAGGGAGCCAGCCCAGAGGCGTGCAGAGTGGACAGCGATGGCGCCCTTGGGACCGAGGCTTCCGTCCCTGGGGAACGGGGAGAGGGACACGGGGCACATGCGGGGGGGTCTGACTCGGACGGAGCAGGGCAGGAAACGGAAGAGGCTGGAGCTAACTACTGTGCGCACTACAAGAGTCAAGACCATAATGTGAATGTTTCAACAGCCAGTAGAAAGAAACAACTGGAACTTTCTTCCCCTTAGTGGGGGGGGGATGTGGGGGGGAATGGGACATGGGGT